CACTAGGTATTGGATATAGGTCCCATTAAATCCAGAATGATTTCATCTGGTGATCATCAAGTTAATGACATCTGCAAAAACACAATTTCTAAAAGGTCACATTCTCAGGTATCAGGGTTGGGACATAGACTTACACTTTAGGGAGACACTAGTCAACTGAGGAAAATTTGGAAAAATGCCTGGCTCGTAAAAGAGCCACATAACAACAACATAACTCTATTTTCATTTCCATTGCTCTATACACATCATCATAACTTTTGGAATTGGAAAAATAGCAGTTCTTCTTTTTTAGATTCATATTTCAAATATTACGCATCTGTTTTCCAATGTCAATTTTATATAATTTACCTTTTTTTGAGTTAGAATACATCTTATATTTATTTATTTATTATTTTTGGTAATCCTCGCTTAAAAATACTGCTGTTGGATGTTTATGACAATTTCTTTTATCTAAAGTATTTGAAAGTAAGTTGTGACCATAAACACGATGTATGGAATTATTTATTCGTTCCTTTTTCTACTCTTTTATATGAATGTTACTTTTACTTATTACTGTCTTTCTGTTCTGTTAGTTTGTTTTTATTTTAGATTTCTGACATTGATGAAACAGGACTTTTTCTGATATTTGAAATTAAAAAGTTAATAATTTTTAGTTTACTTTCATTTTGATCCTCCACTCTTGATTTATTTCAATTTTTTTTTTTGCAGTACTTAATTATTTTTATTTATGTCTTCATTCATTAAGAAGAATTTTCCGAAAACCTTTTTTACATTATGGGCTATGACTTATCCCCTATTCTATCACAGATACGAACTTTAATTATTCTTTTAATCTTTTAAAAATTTTTTTTAAGTAATAAAAAATTATTAATTCCTGGGATGGTGGTTATCCCTTCCCAACCTTGCAGGAGGGAACAACACTGAAGGAAATCACTGAGAGATCACACAGGGTCCCAACATCCCTTGTCACTACAGGAGGAGGAAAGTCATTCCTCTGAAAAAGGGTTGCTCTTCAGTCTTCCTTAATCCAAGAGGAGTTGGGAGAACTGGTACACAGGGGACCATCACATGATAATGGGGCCGTGGTGGGTGTATGCTGGAGCCCTAGCTGGCTCTTCCAACAGTGGAGAAGAAACAGATCCACATCTTCTCTGGGGGTGGAGTTCTGGTTGCCAGCCAGGCTCATTTCTTACCCTTGCTGAGGCTGTCACCTCCCCAGGTGAAACCACTTTCATCCTGTAGGTTCAGCACGACCTTGTCAGCAGTGAGATAGGTGTGATTCTGTGATGTGGCGATCGTCTTGGAGATGTTCTGGGCTGCCTGGATCTTAAGATCGATGTAGCCAGCGTTCTTGCTCAGTGCTTCTCCAAGCATTTTGGCGGCCTCAGCCTCTCCCTCGGCCTGCACGATCTTCTGCCGCTGTTCTTGCTTTGCTTTTTCTACAAAGAACTGGGCCCACTGGGCCTCCTGCTGGGCCACGTGTTTGGCTTCTACAACAGCTGTGTACTCTCGGCTAAAGCCTAGCTCGGTGACGGCTACATCATCCAG